CCAGAGCACTGATTTTGTGAGTTCTGACTCTCACGTGGGCCTTGGGGTACTGGCAGATCGCTTGACTCCTTTTGTACCCTTGACATTTGCCTCTCGTAGAAGTGCATGTGATAAAGGTTTTGCTTAATCACCTATGCCAGTTATTTTTATCCAAGGCTTATTTTTCTTCTTGTGAAAGGAATGAGAAACCTGTTAAAACCCAGAGGAGCATAAAGAAGGGAATGATGGTTATTCCTAATTCCACCAACCACGTGTAACACATGCTTACTGTATCTCATTTTAATATATCCTTTCCTCCTTCTACTATAGCTGTTGTTTTATTTTTTAAACACCATTAAGGCTGCACAGGACATGCGGTTTTACAATCTGCTTCTTTACTTTGTGTTTCTTAATTAAGCTATTTTATAATAGATTATTTCAAAATTCTTTTCTCCTATGAATAGCCCCTCAACTTGGTAAGCAGGGAAGATGGTTTTCTTCCATTTTATAGATAAGAAAATGGAATCTCAGAGCAGTTTAATTAATTGAACAAATATTTGTGGACTTGCTTTCACTGTTTCTAATGCTGTGCTTCCCAGGGAAGGGGTGAGAGCAAGGAGCAGAGATCTGCAGGCTCACACACACCTGCTTATTCCCAGCTTCCCATCTCCATCCCCAAAGCTACACCAGTATTAGAAGCAAATCTTGGAGAGAAGGATGTGGTGTTTGGTGCATGGTGGACAGGAATGAACAAGGCACGTCTGAGCCGCAGAGCCTGAGACCAGATGGCTTAGGAAGATGGGGTTTTGACCCAGAGAACACAGCAAGGAAGCTGGGTCCCACAGCTGCCTCGCAGACTCAGCCCCAGAGATGATTTCTATTGCAGGTTGAGTGGCACATTCATTAGTTGTAATCAGTGTGGTCAGTGTGTCACAGTAATGTTAACACCTCAATGACAGAGAGTGGGGCATATGGACATTCTCTGCACGACTCCTACAACTTTTCTGTAAATCCAAAACTACTCCAAAGTGAAAGCTTATTTGCAAAAAACCCACACAGATGATTAAGGGGTGAGCAGTTTGGCCTAGTCACTGAGATATTGGTGAAGATGCTTGCATCCCATATTGGAGTGAGTGGTTCGAGACCTGACCCTGGCTCCTGACTCCAGCTTCCTGCTAATGCAGACCCGGGGAGGTGGTGGTGATGGATCACATGACTGGGTCCCTGCCACCCCAGTGGGTGACCAGACTGACCCCAGGTCGGAGCTTTTGTGAGCATCTGGGGAGTGAACCAGTGAATGAATTTTCTCTCTCAAGTAAATACATAATTCAAATCATTAAGCATTTACCAGATCCCGAGGAAGACAACTGGCGCTCCAGGCAGAAGGAGCTGATGCCCAGGTCGGGAGGGAAGACAGTGTGCTGTAGCTGTACAAAGTGAAGTGTGGCTGAGGACCATTGCTGGCCTGGGATTGGGAAGACCTTTCTTTAACTGGCATAGTTCATGTTTGGGTTTGCTTCCTGTAAAGGCACCCACCAGCATAGCACAAGGCTGGAAGAGAAAGAGAGAGGGTGGGTTAATGAGACCAGTGAGCAGGCTGTTGGAAGGTTTGAGGCAGAGGAGCTGCTGCCTGGAGCCAGGCAGTGGCTGGAAGCTTCTTAGAGCTGAGCTAGCACCCTGGCAGCACAGGGCTCTGTCCCAACGCCTTCTTCCTGCTTCATTCTCCATCATGCCTGACGCAATCCTGGTAGACAGGCAGGTAAAGCCTGCCTGATCAAGCACAGCCCTGCTTCTTTTGCTCCTCTAAACCAGAGCAGCAGGGGGCCAGCATGCTCCGTCCTTGTGCAGGGGTCCGGGGTGGGAAACATTTGGCACCAGGTGTTAGGAACTCAGATCCTGGCGTGGGACAGTGCGTCCAGTCTCTGAACTCTGAAGCCAGGATTAAGAAACAACCACCTCCACTATCAACTTGTGAGCCACTGGGATGCTCAAGGAGACCTTCAGAACTCTACCCAGGCCTGGAAGAGTACAGAACACACATGAGGGTTAAGCAGCTCCAGTACCTGACTGAGCAGTTAGGGGGTGCACATCATTATGTCATGGTGAACACACACCATCCCTGCCCCCTGAGTCCCCACTGAGGTATCCAAAGAAGGCAGAGAATCAATCCCTTTGCTCTCCTCCTCGGAATTTGTCGTCTTCCCTCTGACTGTCACTGTAATCCAGCTGCAGGAATCAATTTGAGGTCTTAGGACTCTTTCTTCAGAACCAGTGGAGAAGCATCCATGTTTCCTTCCCACTGTACCAGTTCCCAAAGTCTGGTATCATCAGCATCTTGATGTCCTCGACCAGAGTTCTGGGTATATCTTAACTTGCTTTCACTGGAGTGCCTTCTGAAATAATCTGGTGGTTGGGGGCCGGGGGAGCTCTTCAGAGTGCATGGCCACACTCTTAACTAAATTCACATTCATCACTGCTAGACATCCTGCTAGGAGAGAGCTGTCTTGGTAGGTGTCATGTTCAAAGTGACAGTAGGACATGTCAGATTCCTTGGAAACTGGCTCTAGGATCCCCTTCCTCATCCTGGTGGTTTTGATTGAGGCCCCAGAGATGTATCATCTTCCAGGTGGAATGGTCACTGCAGGTTCTGGACCTCATAGCCAGGGCTCAGTGTGCAGACCCTGCAGTCAGTGCCAGGGCTGTGGTTGGTGCTGGGGGAGTGCTCATGTCCTCCTGTGGAGCTGCTGATGGCTCCACTAGGTCCCACAGTGCCAGAGGAATATTTCCACTGCTCAGGTCAACTAGGAGTCTTTGGGGTCTTTCCTGACAAAGAATAGGCACTGCGCATGGCTGTCTGATCCTTACATAAATGGTGATCCATGGAGCAGCAGCAAGCAGCAGCACCTAGGAGCTTGTTAGACAGAAATAATCTCCAAGCCTAGAATCAGAAAGTGCATATGAAACCCCTGAGTGATTTGTGTGTGCATCATCGTTTGAGAATTACTGGTTCAACCTACAGCAGTGGCTCGGAATCCTGGCTGTCTGTAACCACCATATCTAGACCATGATATCTAAATCACTTAGCTCAGAATCTCTGGAGGTGGGGCCCAGCATTCAGGGTATTAAAGAGCTCCCTGAGAGATCCTACTATGCAGCCAAGCCAAGTATTCCAGAAGGGCATGGCAGGACCGTTCCAAGGGCATGGATATTACCCTAAGGCTCTGATTTAGTTGCTTTGAAGTGGGGCCAGTATGTTCTGTATTTTCTCTCACCTGTCTCCAGTTTATAGTTGAGAATCATTGACCAGACAAAGAGGTGGCCATTTTTGCTCTGGCCCTGCAGGGATGCAGGCCACTGAGTCCTGGGAACAACTGTGTCTCTTCTGTTGTTTCCGAGTGATGGCAGAGTCTTCACCACCTTAGGGCACCTGGCACAGTTGCATCGAGCCACTGCACACAGCCAGGAAGTGCAGAAGGATGTGGCACACACACAGAATATTTGTTGTGCTCTCCCCCTCTGCTGCCTATCTGATGGCATTTAGACTACAGAGAAAACATGCAGAGAGCTCCTGGCCATGCTTGCAGTAGGCACCAGGGTGCAAGAGAAGCTGCACACTTGGGCTTTTGTTACTTGCTTTACTGCTGAGCCCCAGCCTGCCTGTGGCGGTGGCAATGGTTTAATTTAAGGCCCTGTGGCCTAAGAAAGTCAAAGGAGTGATTAAAGAAAGAGGAGACTTTGTGGAAGACAAAGTGATACAGCCTCTGTGTGCAGACAGAATACAATTGGGACATAAACATTTGTCCTAGTGACAAGCTCTTCCCAACTGCTTGCATTTTGGGGATACCCGCAGTCCCAGAGGCCTGGGTGAGCTGATGGAGGCAATGGACCTCTCTGTTCTCCTTTACAACTGCAGGATGGATCTGGGTCTCTGGGAAGCCCACAGGGCTGCTGCCCACCTCCCTGCCTGACTCAGGTTCCCAGTTTAGGAAACGTGTTCCTAAGGAATGCACAGGTGCCTGTACCATGTGTGTGTGTCTCACACTCCCTCTCCTCCACAGCTGGCAACGTGGGACTCAGAGAAAGGCCTGAATGGCAGCCTACAGGAGAGGCCCATGGGCAGCCGCCTCCAAGGACTGACTCTCAAAGTGGTGACTGTCTTGGTAGGATCACGGGGATATTCTGGGAGCTTAAGGCTGCTGTCTGTTTAGGGCTGTGTTAGGAGAGAAAGGGGATCTTGAGGAGCAAACGAGCCTTTCAATCAAATAACTGTGAAAGGGTAAGACTCCAAGGGAGGTCCCTCAACTGCTCTAGAGCAGGGGCCCTGCATCCAGATCCACCGCTGACCTCAAAAGGGCGCTCTGCCGCTCCTTTGCTCCTTGGGCATCAACAGGGTCTTGACCGACTGGCTGCTGGTCTTCAGGTGAGTGGTGCGGGCAGCCAGGGTCCCCAGAAGGGTGCTGGGAGGAGGAAGTTCTTTCAGCCCCCAGCACTCTGGGTGGCCCACATGACACAAACTTCCTGATGAAACGCACTTGCTAGTTGCTTGTTCCAGCATCAGTTGTCCTGGGATCATAGACTTTTGCATTTCTAAGGGACTTCGGATTTACCCCTTACTTACGAGCTGGGTCGGACATGGTCCAGATGTTCCCCTCGGTTCCAGCAGGCACAGAAGCCCCTGGTGTTTCTGCAGACCCTGAATGTGCCTTGTATCTTTTTCTCCCAACAACACTAAATTAATGAGATATAGGCTCTGTCACCATTTGCCCAAAGCTCCTTCTTGTTCCGTTTCCTGCAAGAAGGAAGGGGAGTGTGAGGGGGAGGCTGGGCTGCCTTCCAGGGAGCCACCTGCTCCACACATGACACAGCACAAAATGTGTGGGTGTGTACACAGCACAGCTTTGGGCTCAGAACCTGTGGATTTTAATTCGAGCCTACCCTTTCACTTATAGCATGACCTTGGCTGGTTCATCAGCATCTATTTTCTAGTACAAGCTGATAGATAAAATACGGTCTTCTCTCAATTTAATATCTCAGATCTTTATTGCCATTTATTATCCTGGATGAGAAGTGTCACATGTCTTATGTAGGTCTCCTAAAATTATGGCATTTCCTAAGGACAGAGTGTGTTACAAATGAAAGTAGGAAAACGAGGGCTGTTATTCTACGAGCTGGGGTTTGGGCACAGCCTGGGATGACGTCACACAGGACAGGTAAATTTGCATGGCTGTGTGTTGACCTGCTGATTGGGGTGATTGTCCTGCACACTGTTCCTTGATTGCCCATAAACTGCTTTTAGAAAAGGGCAGAGGAGTTCAGCCTCCAGGTCGAAATTGGGTAAATGCTAACAATTCAAGTTAGGATTCCTAGATGGGTCTGTCCGACTGTACCCCAGACATGGGTGTTAATGAAGATCGTTCGTTCTGCTGTTCCCAGGAAGAGCCTTTCGTGATGGTGGCTGAGAACATCCTTGGGCAGCCTAAGCGCTACAAGGGGTTCTCCATCGATGTCCTGGATGCGCTGGCCAAGGCTTTGGGCTTCAAGTATGAGATTTACCAGGCCCCTGATGGCAGGTACGGTCACCAGCTCCACAACACCTCCTGGAACGGGATGATCGGGGAGCTTATCAGCAAGGTAGGTCCCACAAGCTGGTTCATGACCAGGGGCCCCCTGGTGTGCCCCTGGGTGGCCTCACTACTTGGCCCACTATGCTGTTGGTCCAGCTAAACAGTCTGGTTACCCTCCTCTGCACCTGTGACTGCTCTGTTACCTTCTCCTCCTCCAGCGCTCTGTGTCTCCCTCCCTAACCATTGCTTTCATCTGTTCCAAGCCCATCCACCATGCCTACCCTGTAGCACTCTCATCAGGAGACCCATCCCCCTTCCTGGTGCTGAAACAGGGACCTAGTGCCCTTTCTCCTCTTGCCCAGAGACAATAGCGGGTTACGTGCATGTTGGCATTTGCGTAAACATGCGTATGTGACTGTTCTGCATAGCCATGTGTCTGTGGTGTGACATCCCCAGCCCTGCATACTTGTCTCAGATCTTTACCTTTCATCCCTCCTGCAGAACCTGTATCCTCATGGGAACTCGGGGCTTGAGGCCAGTCCCTCTCACCCCCAGCCTTGCCTCTGGATTCTAGGGACCTGTCAATCATTTCCCCACCATCACTTCTAACAGTGGTATTGGACTCATTCTTACTTTTTTTTTTTTTGACAGGCAGAGTGGACAGTGAGAGAGAGAGACAGAGAGAAAGGTCTTCCTTTGCCGTTGGTTCACCCTCCAATGGCCGCCGCGGCCAGCATGCTGCGGCCAGCGCACCGCACTGATCCGATGGCAGGAGCCGGGTACTTGTCCTGGTCTCCCATGGGGTGCAGGGCCCAAGCACTTGGGCCATCCTCCACTGCACTCCCTGGCCACAGCAAAGAGCTGGCCTGGAAGAGGGGCAACCGGGACAGAATCCGGCGCCCCGACCGGGACTAGAACCCAGTGTGCCGGTGCCGCAAGGCTGAGGGTTAGCCTAGTGAGCTACGGCACCGGCCTCATTCTTACTTTTGACACACACATGTTGACAATTGTGTACTGTGCTGTGGACAGCCCTTGACTCCCAGTGTGTAGACTCCCTGCACCCATGCATGTTGCTAGTATCTCACATTAGTCACCATAACTGTCATGCCCGCCCTCCCCAGCCTGGACCACAGCTTGTTCTGCTTTGACCTCTTTGGGGTCTTTACTCCCCAGACACAGGCTCTTTGCTTTTTAAAGGTATCAAGGTAGGCACTAGGCCGGGGATCACTGCAATTTCCCTTTATCTTTTTTGAGAAACAAATTTATTGTGGGGAATTTCAGATACTATGTAAGTTAGCCATTTTAGATGTCAATGCAATGATTTGAGTAACTGTACTGAGTGTGAAGCCCTCTCTGTAATCTACTTTGAGAGCTCTGCTATAATCCCACTGCGGGCTCCCCTACCGATCTACAGTTACTGCCATTCCCGCCCCCAGCCCAAGGCAACCACTAATCTACTTTCCATCTCTGCTGAGTTGCAGTTGTGACATTTCATACAAATGCACTCATGCAATATATGGTCTCTTGCCTCTGGCTCTTCCCACTTAGCCCGTGCATTTGAGTCTATCCTGCTCAGATGTTTCTGTGCCCACCTGGCACTGCAGCCTCCCCTGCCTGGTACATCCTCTGTGGCTGACCACACAGAGAGAGCCTCTCTTCCTTTCATCCCTCATGCACCCATGCTCCTGATGTCCTGTTGCATCCAAGCCCTGAATTGGTTCTGTTCTTGGCCTTCTTAACTCTGATAGCCAGGCTGCTGCACGCAAGTAGAGAAGAAAATGATGAATCTGTTCAGATGAGGGTCTGAGCTTTGCTCTCTAGCCTCAGCTGGGCCTCTGTGCAACGCAACCCCCAAGCTTACCCTTTGTGGGTCCCCTTGGCCACATCCCTCAAAGACGTCTTCCAAAGTTTCCCTTTCTCCTAGAGCTCCCTAATGAGCCTCCATCCTCCTCTTATATTGGGGGAAAGAAATTGAGACTTCTGGTCATGAAATTAATTTTTACTCCTTATAAAATACATACCTGCTGGCATCTGCCCTCCCCTCCATAGGCAAGTATTGCCTGCCCTGTCCTGCTGTGGGGGGAGTGTCTCTCTCCTGTCACTGGTCAACCCCTCCACCTCTGTCATGAGTTGATTCGCTAGTGTGTCCTGTAGACCTTACGTACACTAGAGTATAAACCTACCCTTAAATATGCTCCAAACTCTCCCAACCCTAAAAGCAACAACTGGATATTGGGTTTCTGGGAAGAAAGGCAAGAACCAGAGATGAAAGATGTGACAAGTGTAAGAGGAGTGCTTGAACAAAGTCCTCTCCCACATCTTGTGTCCTCTGTACTCTAGATGGTGTTGGATGTCAGTTTATCTGCACTTCCAAGCCATACATTCAATCTTATAAAATCCTTTCCCCCACTTTGACACATGGGTCAAACCGGTGGTCAGGATTGGCTGTTCAAAAACACACCATAATCACTGCTGATGCCTCCTACCTGGAGGTCCCAGAGCCAAGATCAAAGTGATGACCATGCCTCTCAGCACTCTAACAGCCACAGCAAACTAGACCATATAGCCCATCTCCCTCTCTCTAGGCAGTGAGGCTCCTAACCTCTCCCAGACATGGCAGCCTCATCTCCAGTCCAGGTCCATACTACTGGAGCATTTGTCTGTTTTTAAAATGAAGCCATTTTTGGAAGCAGAACTCTTGGGGGACATTTTGAGGTCACCGTAGGGCATGTGCAGAGCAACCCTTCGCAGTATGGCTTGGGTACAAGAAAAACCAGCTCATGTGTCTGTAGGCCGTGAGATAGGGAATGGAGGGAGACATAAACCAGTAGATGACCCTTTATTCCTAGGGAGTTTTACTCTGCATATAAAACAATCCGGGCCCCAAATGTTAGTGGAGTTCACCATGGTTGAACAGCTCACCATCTAATTGCTGAAATCTTTTAGAAAAGAGAGGGATCGATGGGGTGATGGTGTTGTGGAGACTGGCCCTGCTGTCCAGGGGAAATTTGGATAACCCTGGAAGAAGAGAGGAGAGGCAACAGCAGACAGCAGTGTTGGACTTGACTTTACAGGGTGCAGAGCCACAGGGTGTCAACCCTCAAATCCGCTTCCTCTGCACAGAAGCCCTGGAGGGGCGGGGGTGCGTGGACTGAGGAGCTGGTTTGCCTTTCAGAGAGCAGACGTGGCCATCTCCGCCATCACCATCACCCCCGAGAGGGAGAGCGTCGTGGACTTCAGCAAGCGGTACATGGACTACTCAGTGGGGATCCTCATGAAGAAGCCCGAGGAGAAGATCAGCATCTTCTCCCTGTTCGCGCCCTTTGACTTCGCGGTGTGGGCCTGCATCGCCGCCGCCATCCCTGTGGTGGGGGTGCTCATCTTTGTGCTGAACCGGATCCAGGCTGTGAGGGCACAGAGTGCCACCCAGCCGCGACCTTCCGCCTCTGCCACCCTGCACAGCGCCATCTGGATCGTGTACGGAGCCTTCGTGCAGCAAGGTACCTGCCTGTCTCCTGGCCTTGGTTAACCCTGAGGACCTGGAAGGACTTTTCCCTGTGGGCAGTGTTCTTAGAAATGACTTCACCCAGTCATTTTAAATGCAATTTGATTTCATCTCTAACACAGTCCTAATATCACACTGCCCCAATTTCTCTATGTGATATCAGATTGAAACAGAATAAAATGATGACAAAGAACTCAACTTCAGATCCTGATTCTCCCCGTTAGGTAAAATTAACTTTGGAGTTCTGCCTTGAGTGTCTCTCCTCTCCCACCTTTGATTGCTAGGCACATGAGGTTGTCAGGAGAAACCCTGCATCTGGCTTAAATTTGCAGTCATAATGGGGGAAAATAATCCCAATTGTACTGCAGTCTGCTAGGCATTCTCCTCTGCTTGAGGGTTCTGCACCGTGCAATTTGGGGTGGAAAAGGACAAATTGCAAAGTTCCTAATGTGAGTCGTGGTCCTGTTTTTACCCTAGTGAAAGCTTTTCAAGGTTAAAAAAGGAGAATAGGTGGGCAGTGAGGAGCTTTCCTCTGCTACCACCTAAGGGACCAAGGAGAAATAATTGGCCTGAAAGAGGCAGCTTCTCCCTGAAAGTTACTTGCAATGATTTCTGAGAATCCTGGAGAAAAAGTCTTCTAGTGAGGGTTGAATATTAATAAAAGTCGTATGGTACATCTTATTCCTTGGTTGAAAAGAAAGCTCTGGAACCCTCTGGGTAGACAGCCTGTATTTACAAAATCTCTGAGTCTACTCTGCGTGGCTTTGGAATCAGAGGGGATGCTGCCCTAGGAGTTCTCACCTCGGTGAGAAGGTTTTGGCATTCAGAATTCTGTCCCCGGTGTTGTGGCACGCTTCTTATCCCTGCACGGCCCGTCTGGACTCCTGCGTGTTCTGTGGTCCTCCATCCTGTTCCAAGGTCAGTAGCTGTAGACGTCTTGGCTGCTACCAGCAAAGCTCCCCTCACGCAGTGGGCAGTCCCTTCCCTGGTCCCCTGGCCTGGCCACAGGGCAGAGCAGGTCTCTGGGGAAGGGAGTGAAGCTCCCATCCCCCACCCCCACTGGCCAGTTCACCCTGCCTGCCTTCCGCAGGTGGTGAATCTTCCGTGAACTCCATGGCGATGCGCATCGTGATGGGTAGTTGGTGGCTCTTCACCCTCATCGTGTGCTCCTCCTACACAGCCAACCTTGCTGCCTTCCTCACAGTGTCCAGGATGGACAACCCCATAAGGTAAGCCTGTTCCTTCTTCTAGATCTAGAGTGATGTAAGACATGGTACAAACCTGTCAGGGCTCTCAGGTGTTGTGGATAGAACCTGAGGGCACAGAGAGACTCAGATCCTGGATCTGCAGTCAGATAACTAAAATCTTTCATGCCAAGAGAAGAGCTTCATTCTTGTTGTATTTTGTTTCCTGTACAATTGCATAAATGTATAAATTCATGTCTTTGAACTTTGAATGCTGCTTACAAAAGTCAACAAATCAAACATTAAGATTAACAAATTAAATTTCCTCTGACATTTAAACTTGTTCGCAGACATTTAAGCAAATTTTATCAATGTTTAGTTAAAATTAATTTAAGTCACAAGTCTAATATTTTTCAAATCTTCAAATACCTTAAAGTGATTTAAAACATGCCAATTATCACAAAGAATAGAAAACTTATTCCACTTACATTTCAACAATTTTTGAAACCAGGGCAGGCATTTGGCAAAGAGGTTAGGATGCTGTTGGGATGCCCACATCCCATATTGAGGAGCCCGAGTTTGAGTCCTGGCTCCACTTCTTTTTTTTTTTTTTTTTTTTTGACAGGCAGAGTGGACAGTGAGAGAGAGAGAGACAGAGAGAAAGGTCTTCCTTTGCCGTTGGTTCACCCTCCAATGGCCGCTGTGGCCGGCGCGCTGCGGCCGGCGCACCGCGCTGATCTGATGGCAGGAGCCAGGAGCCAGGTGCTTTTCCTGGTCTCCCATGGGGTGCAGGGCCCAAGCACCTGGGCCATCCTCCACTGCACTCCCTGGCCACAGCAGAGGGCTGGCCTGGAAGAGGGGCAAGCGGGACAGAATCCGGCGCCCCAACCAGGACTAGAACCCGGTGTGCCGGCGCCGCTAGGCGGAGGATTAGCCTAGTGAGCCGCGGCGCCGGCGCTGGCTCCACTTCTGGTTTCAGCTTTCTGCTAACTTACACACACCCTGGGAGGCAGCAGGTAATAATGGCTCAGGCACTTGGGTCTCTGCCACCCACATGGGAGATCTGGATTGAGTTCCAGGCTCCAGGCTTTGGCCTGTTCCAGACTCAGTTACTGTGGGCATTGTAGGAGTGAACCAGCAGATGGAGGATCCCTGCCCTTCATCGCCCACCTCTCTCTGCCTTTTAAATAAAATGAAAATACATAAATGAAACCTTTAAAAATTATTGAAACCAAGGACTCAAAGGCTGTCTTCATTTTTACAAAATGTTAAAATGATGGCCTAGAAGAATGAGTTCAGGATGGATGGATGCCTCTTGGAAATGCTTTTATTTTATGATCAGACTTGGAAATGCACATCGAGAATGTGATTGCCGATGTGGCCGCCTCACAGATCTATTCCACACTCACTGCACTCTCTGTGGGCTTCCATATGACCCCTCATTTGAGCCCCAGCTGGGATTTTCTGAGTCTCTGCCTTCGGTAGCCTCTGTAATCCATCCCGCTCTGTTATCACATCCACTCTGCATCGTGGCTGTCCTCAAACCAGCCACACTCAATGAGCTTCTCAAAGAGTTCAGACTCCTTGATCAGGGTTCAAGGTTAAGTATGATATTATCTAGTGTCTGTATTAAACTGACATTTTGACTGAGACAATTGTAGATTTGCGTGCAATTTTAAGAGACAATATGACGGTCTTCCAGTGTCCTTTACCCAGTCTCACCCAGTGGAAATATTTTGAAAAGTTAGTATTGTACCACAGGCAGCGTACTGACATTGATAGAATTGATGGATTTTATTCAGCCTTCCCCTCCTGTATGCATCTGTGTCTGTGTGTGTGCATTTTGGTCTGTATGTCTGTGTGTATGTGTGCATTTGATTCTGTGTCTCTCTGTGTGTGTATGTATGCATTTGGTTCTTTGTGTCTTTCTGTGTGTCTCTGTGCCTCTGTATGCATTTGGTCTCTGTGTGCATTTGGTGAGTAGCCACCTCCACAGCACAGACACTGAGCAGTCCTATCACAACAGGAATCCCTTGTGTCATCCCGTGATAACCATACTTGCCTCTTCCTAGTTCTTGCCCTCTCTTTCCATCCCTAATCATGGCAATCTCTAATTGCCCTCTAATTATAAAATTTTATGCTTCCAATCATGTTATACAAATGGGTCATATCTTTTGGCTTTAGCTCCTTCAGCATAATCTCGTACATTTATCCAGCTTATTGTATGTATTAATAGTTCATTGCTTTGTATTGATGAGTGGCATCCTGTGTACTACAGTTTGTTTAGTCACCCATTGAAGGACATATGGGTTGTTTCCAGTTCTTGGTAATTATGAATAAAGCTGGTATGAACATTTGGGTGCACATTTTTGCGTGAACATAAGTTTTCATTTACATGTGATAAATATGCAAGAGTGCAATTGCGGGGTCATATGGTAATTACATGTTGAGTTTTTTTTTTTTTTTAAACTATCCAACTGCCTTCCACAGCGGCCATACCATTTTACATTTCTGCCAGCAGTGGGGGAGTGGTCCAGCTTCTCTGCATCTCTGCCAGCACCTGGTGTGTAACTGTCTTTCCTTTGACCATGCTGGTAGTGTGCAGAGCTGTCTTGTGTGGGTCTCATTTTGCATCTCCCTAAGGATTCATGAAGTAGAGACCATTTCCTGTGCTCATTCCCTATCTGTGCATCCTGTTCAGGGAAATAGCTGCTTTTGTCTTTTGTTCATTTTCCAATGAGAGTGATTGATTTTTACTGTTTGAATTTGGAAAGCTTTTTATGCAGTTTAGATATGCGTTGTCAAGTAAGTGATTTGCAAATAAGTCCTACCATTCTAAGGGGTCTTTTCAACCCTTTAACAGAATCTTTACATAGAGAAGAGGTTTTAATTTTGATAAGGTTAAATTTAGAAACTTTTTTTTTTGTGGATCCTGCTTTTGGTGTCAAATCTTTGCTTAGCCAGAGACTCTGAAGATTGTCTTGTGTTTTCTCCTTCCACCTAAATCTTTTGAATTTTTGCAGTTTTACAATTCAGCAAACAATTAGTTTTATATAAAGTTTGAGGCTTAGGTTTAGGTTGAAGCCTCTCTCTCTCTCTCTCTCTCTTTCTCTCATTTGTCCAGTTCCTTGAGCATCACTTGTTGAAAATGCAATTCTCTGGCCTACACCGTGGTTCACTAAGCTAATCCTCTGCCTGCAGCGCCGGTACCCTGGGTTCTAGTCCTGGTTGGGGCGCTGGATTCTGTCCCGGTTGCTCCTCTTCCAGTCCAGCTCTGTGCTGTGGCCCGGGAAGGCAGTGGAGGATGGCTTAACTCCTTGGGCCCTGCACCCGCATGGGAGACCAGGAGGAAGCACCTGGCTCCTGGCTTTGGATGCCGGCCGCAGCGTGCCAGCTGCAGCGCACCAGCCATAGCAGACATTTCGGGGGTGAACCAACGGAAAAGGAAGACCTTTCTCTCTGTCTCTCTCTCTCTGTCTAACTCTGCCTGAAAAAGAAAGAAAGAAAGAAAGAAAGAAAGAAAGAAAGAAAGAAAGAAAGAAAGAAAGAAAGAAAGAAAATGCAATCCTCTAATGGATATACTGCATATGTGTGTGTGTGTGCCATACGACACAATACATTATGAAATGATGACCACAGACAAGGAAAACATAGCCATCACTTCACATGGCCATCATGTGCGTATGTGGTGAGAACATATAAGATCTTAGCTTCTTAGTTAAAAATTCCAGCTATACCTATAGCATTGCTAATGAGTACCACCAGTGCTTAGACCTTCACAACTTACTCATCCTATGTAACTGAAACTTTTCTACCTTGCACCAAAACCTCACATTTCCTTCAGCCACCATTCTGGTCTCTGCTTTGATGAGTTCAGTTTTTTTTTTAACTTTTATTTAATGAATATAAATTTGCAAAGTACGGCTTATGGATTACAATGGCTTCCCCCCCATAACATCTCTCCCACCCGCATCCCTCCCCTTTCCCACTCCCTCTCCCCTTCCATTCACATGAGGATTCATTTTCGATTCTCTTTATATACAGAAGATCAGTTTAGCATACATTAAGTAAAGATTTCAACAGTTAGCTCCCACACAAACATAAAGTGAAAAATAATAGATGATTTTTTAAATGATGATGAAATCAGATCAGACCTATTGTCATGTTTAATCCCAGTGAGAGTCAAGTTGGGAATTGATAATTTCTTTTTTTTTTTTTACAGAAGATCGGTTTAGTATACATTAAGTAAAGATTTCAACAGTTTGCACCCCCATAGAAACACAAAGCGAAATATACTGTTTGAGTACTCATTATAGCATTAAGTCTCAATGTACAGCACATTAAGGACAGAGATCCTACATGAGGAGTAAGTGCACAGTGACTCCTGTTGTTGACTTTACAAATTGACACTCCTGTTTATGACATCAGTAATCTCCCTATGCACCAGTCATGAGTTTCCAAGGCTATGGAAGCCTTTTGAGTTCACCGATTCTTATCTTGTTTAGACAAGGTCATAGTCAAAGTGGAGGTTCTCTCCTCCCTTCAGAGAAAGGTACCTCCTTCTTTGAAGACCTGTTCTTTCCACTGGGATCTCACTCACAGAGATCTTTCATTTAGGTTTTTTTTTTTTTTTTTTTTTTTTTTTTTTTTTTTTTTTTTTTTTGCCAGAGTGTCTTGGCTTTCCATGCCTGAAATACTCTCATGGGCTTTTCAGCCAGATCCGAATGCCTTTAGGGCTGATTCTGAGGCCAGAGTGCTGTTTAGGACATCCGCCATTCTATGAGTCTGCTGAGTATCTCGCTTCCCATGTTGGATCACACTCCCCTTTATTTATTCTATCGGTTAGTATTAGCAGGTACTAGACTTGTTTATGTGCTCCCTTTGACTCTTAGTCCTTTCA